TAATTTGTTACCCAATCACAAATAAGAGGCCATTATACAATTTGATTTATTGCTGAATATTTCCTTCAGAATTGACCTTATTATTGCTATCAATTTTGCTGATTGTTTGTTTATAAACAAGACTCAAACAGTAAGAACCTGTTAGCCAGACAAGTTTGAACATGTCAAAGAATGCATGTCAGCGTTTCAGATTTAGCAAATCCTAATTATTCTTCTGATTTTACCACTCTCACTTTCATCTGAGTCCCATCTAGGCATGGGCCGGTATAAGATTCTGATGGTATGATAACCTTGGATAAAAATATCACGGTTTCACAGTACATTGTGATTACTGCTCTAAAATATATTCTTTTTAATTATTTGGGTAAAAAAACAAAACCTTTTTCCCCTCTCAATACAACATATTTTATTTTGAGATCCATTTAACAGTAAACATGTTTTGCTAAATAATTCAAGTGAATCATTGACTTCTGCTGTTTTCATTAGTTTCATTAGTGATTTATTTACAATTTAAAATGGTATCTATAGATATCTTTTCTGCTGTTGTCCTAAAAAACATAAAAGTAAAACATACTGTTGTCCTAAAAAACATAAAAATAAATGTAAAAGTGTATATATATTTTTTGTTTAAAATCTTGACTTTTCCAAACCGTTGTATACCTTGAAAATGGTTATCTTCTCATGCCTATAGTCCCATCCATCAACCTGATTATCAGTTTAAGAGTTGTTTTGGTTGTGGTTGTTGTTGTAGGCCTAGTTTATGCATTAGTTTATGTATACTGGGGGAGAACTGCTCCAAAACGCATGTTGATTTATCTATGTTAAAGGTTGTAGGTCAACCTGAACAACAGCAAGTATCAAAGAGAATAATAGCCACCCCCCTCTCAGGGTGTGTCCCAAATCCAGCCACTCTCCTCTGACACTTTCAGATATTTTTGCCCTGGACTTGGTTTCTGTGTACATTATTTATACAGTACGTGTGTGTGTTTTCATCTGTCTTTTCGAGTTACGCAATATGCCTTTTAAATGTCAAGGTGTCAAGAATTAATGAAGACTAAATGTTGACACAATAGAGCAGCACTTTCACTTTCTGACAATAAGTATACGTCAGTGTCTCCAAGCCTTCAGGTCATACATGTTAGCATTCAGTACAATCATCCAAAGCAGCTGGATGTGGGTTTTCTTTTTGAAGTTTCACAGCATACAAGTTTCTCGAAAAGTCTATTTGGGAATCTAAAACACTTTTAACTGAAAACGTCAAACCAAGGTGCATTTAAGTTAAATTAGCATTAGTATTCAAAAATGTATGTATAGAATAGGGATGCAACGAATATAGATTTTGGTTGTACGATGATTATCTTAGAAGTAATCTCGGTTTCACGGTTATCACGATTATTATGCATTCATTCATTTTCAAACCACACTAGTTTAGAATAAGATGAAAACTCTTTATATTTTACAGTATTATTTATGCTGCTCAGTAACTAATAATACAGCACAAAATAATATAAAAACAAACAATAGTAAATTTCTCTCTTTGTGCTTAAAAATAAGTGAATGTTTTTGACATTTAAACAGAAATAATTTTACACTGCAAATAAATTACAGAACAATAAATGAATAAAAATAAGAATAAATAAAAAAACTGTATTTTACTAATGCAGGGCTTGAAACTGCTTGTGCTCCCAACTATAAAAATGTAGAAGCACCAGAAAAAATTTAGGAGCACCCACCAAAAATTATTGAGCACCACTGACTCAACTTGTATATTAACAGATTTATTGTATTTAAAAACAAAATTAATTAGGACTAACAAAAACCAGAAACAACTATCTAACTAATGCTGTGATGACTTTGTGATGAAGTTTTTTTCCCTCTCCGCTGTCGCCACTGGCTTGCATGGTTCAGGATTGGTAGAGCTACGCATCGATGAATTTGCTCTACAGTGTCTGAACTCTCAGTAATGATTTTAAATCACACTGAACTGAGCTAAACTGAACTGAACTTAAACACTAAAAACTGAACTACACTGTTCCAGTTACTATGACCATTTATGTGAAGCTGCTTTGACACAATCCACATTGTAAAAGCGCTATACAAATAAAGCTGAATTGAATTGAATTGAATGACTTGATGTTTGCGCAATAATTCCAAAATAAATGTCTAATAATTATAAAATATTAATGATGACGAAAATGACAATAATGCTATCAATGAATTACATTTCTCATTATCATTCTGCCTTGAATGCAAGTTATCTGCTATAAAAAGTCCAACTGTTGCTTTATGAAAAATAAATTTATGGTTTGCATTAAACAAAAATGAAGCAATGCAGTAAGAAATTTTTATTTTGCACTCTTGTTTTTATATGCATGTCAATTTAATAAACAGAAAGAATGGACAAAAGAAAGGAAAGAATGTCTTACTTCTGCGCCTCTTTAAAAGTATTGGTTTGGATTTGTGTCATTTTAAATGCTCAGTCTCGTTATGCTCTAATTTTTCATCTCTCTGTGTTTGTGAAAAAAGCCGGCCAGTCAGCCGGCCCATATAAGCGGGGCAGAGCAGGATTCTCGCGATAACCACCAGCACAATACTGTTGTCATGAGCCGCAGTTTCAGTTTAAACTTAGCAAAGGCAAGCTTCTTTGTCGATGATGTGCACAGTGTTAGCAGTGTTAGTGGCCGCCTAGGTCGGCAGAATAGAAAGGGCGCAACACCTCCCTCACCACTGCCGCCTCAGTTATATCTACGCCTAGGGTGGCAAAATATAGAGGGCAGCATCCGCGACACCTCCCTCTTCACCCAAGTCCTCAGTTATATCCGCGACCCCCTGGTCTTCAATTTCATCCACAACACCCCATCCGTGCAGAAACACAGTGTTGAGAAGCCTTTACGATTAATTAACTGTGACAAATTAAAGCACGGTTAATAGTGAAACCGGTTAATCGTTGCATCCCTAGTATAGATGGATAAATAGATAGATCTATTATATTTACAAAATTCTTTAAAAATGTATATTAGTATCAGTCACAAAACGTTAATATAATTGATAAAAAGGGTCACTTGTATTAGCAGCTTATCCAACATTTGTCTTTGGGGAATTTCAAAAGATTTTTTCATTTCCAAGCAATGTCATAATTGACTAATTTGTTGTAGCCTGTAGCCATGCTGATTCAGGATTTGGAGTACTGTGATTGTACTCAGGGAATACTTGACATTGCTCATCTTAACAGGGAGATCCCGAGATTATTTCCATGCTTTTCTGATCATGTGCTTCCTTCCTCCGTTGTCACGTGCACAACATCCTCAAGCCAACTAAAGAAATCAGTCATGCTCTGTGAAACAGAACAAATCAATAGCTAAATTCCAAATTCTCTGCATTCACTTGAGCGTTTTTGATCTTGGCGGATGCTGGCCTTGAGAATAAACTGACCATCGCAGAGAAGAGATAATCTCCAGAATAGTTTATGAGTTGTCCCTTTGTGTGTGCTTTTGTGGTCTCCTTCATCTAAAGCTCTACAAAAAATTGACTGGTTTGATCTCGCTTTGGCTTTTCAAAGTGCTTTGGGATTGTTATCATCAGTCAAATAGCTTATTAATTGACCTAGGTTTGGATGAATTATAGAATATTCACTATATACTTATACTGATTTAAAACTGGTGTAAAGAGGAATATTTATCAGGTGTCGCCACAGTGGAATGAACTGCCAACTATTCCGTCATATGTTTTACACAGTGGATGCCCTTCCAGCCACAACCCAGTACTGGGAAACGGACACTCTCATATTCACACACACACTCATCCACCACGGCTAATTTAGCGCCCTCAGGTGGTTACTGACCCAGTCATGACAGTTATATCCAAACACACGTCCTATGCCCCATATGGTTTAAAACCCGACAGGTGGACAAATCTAAGCTTGTTTTAATTAAAACAAATATAAATATGCATATAATAAATAATAATAACATTATACAAAAGCATGAATAATTTGTCATGGATAAAATAAAGAAGGCATGGAGGCAGTGGTTTTTCTATTTCTGTTGAAAATAATAATTTTTGTAACATTTTAATCCTTTAATTACATCCTGTGTGTTTTAAGCAATGTGTATGTTTAAAGCGCACAACTAACGCGCTCTGTGCTGGACTTTAGACTTGCTTTCAGCTGGTCAATTGTCTATTGTAGTTCCTCAAAATAGCAACGCGCCAACAATGTGCCTTAAAACACCTCCTTTCTAGACCGGCACACCCATGAGTCCACAAAGCAGCGCTATAAGAATTCATTAACCTCACCTAAACCAACATGTTACAGGCGCCAATGGATTTGCTATTTAAACAACAAGACACAAAACAGGAAAATTAGTGTTGCGTTGGTCTGAAAATAGCAACTTGGTGTTCAGTAACACGGTTTTTTAAAATGCCATGAATGTATAAAACCCATGCTTAATATTTAGCACAGTACCTGAATTATTTGAAAGAATTCATTTACTTGGAAAGGAAAGCATTAACTTTTATTTGAAATTCACACTAACATTCTAAATTTCTCTAATGTTTCATGTAATGTGCCATTGCTGAAAATAACTATGCATTTTTTTCCAAATCTTTTGTTTGCAGGGTACATCTGGAAATCATAACTGTCATTGCATTTAGTTATATTTATTTACTTTTATTCATAATGCTGTATATAAGCACATTTCTTAAATATGTGGTTCCTTTGACCGAAAGAAAAAACAGATCAAAAGGCTGAAATGAATTGAGATAAATACTGAGATATTTTAAGCTCCATCACTCAGCCGCAGTGAGTGCATATGAAAATCAATGTAGCATGTTCATTGTTTCTGCTAATCAGGGCCATTGAGCCCTGCAGGCAAATACTGGAGAAACTTCCAGCCCACGGCGCTGCTCCACAGGTGTCCCCTTAAACTGTCACAGAACCAGCGTGAAGCCCTGAGCTTTCTGCACTTAGTGATTTATCTGTGCTTTAAATGTGTGCGTTTCAGAAACACGCCAAGGGGCAGGATCTGTTTGATCAGATTATGTATCACTTGGATCTGGTGGAAGCTGATTACTTTGGGCTGCAGTTCATGGACCCGGAGCAGGTTGCGGTGAGTGGCATTTAATGAGCGTTAGAACGTGTGTGTGGCTGTGACCTGTTTTTCTATTCGCTGCGGCACTTAGAGCAAAAATGAGAAATGGAGAGTGTCAGTGGGATACAGCCACTCGAGATCAATCAGAACAACAGGATTTTTCTTTTTGTCAGCACTTAGGCTAATAACAAACTCTTTCTCTTGTTCCATGTCTCCCTCAATCCTGCCATGCTGCTTTCTGTACTTCACGTTTCCTTCGGTTTTCAGCACTGGCTGGATGCGGCCAAGCCCATAAAGAAGCAGATTAGACGTGAGTAGTCATAACACATGCACACACACACACATGTTGGTATTGGTGGTTTACGAGGACTCTTTATAGGCGTAGTATATTTTATACAAGTTTCAAGTTTATTATATTGCCCTACTTTCAAACCCTACCACTACCCCTAAACCCAACTCTCTTAGAAAGCCAAATTTTGAATGTGAAAATATGGTTACTAAGCATTTTAATCAATTACGAGAACACAATAATGTCCTTGTAAAACACCTTAATAGAGTGCAAATATGTAATTCACATGTCATTATACAAATTTCTGTCCTTGTAAACCACCAAAACCAGTACACACACACACACACACACACTCAATTAGATGTATTGTGGAGTTGTTTAATTTGCTGGTCACAGATGGCTGATGACCTTGGGCTCATAATGTACTGTTGCTGTAGTGACTAGTGGCAAGTGTATGTGAGTGTATACTATGGGTGTGACTACAGACAATCCCACTTGTATGCTGTGCAAGCAGGGCTTAAAACAAACTTTTTGACACACCTGCCGATAGAGTGCATTAGTGCCCTCTAAATTTGTCAGTAGTTTTAGTTCTGGAAGGTTTTTTGTTTTAATTAATGTTCCTTTTTCGATTAAGTTGTTATAAAGCATTAACCAAACCAGTCAGTAATGAGGTCAATCACAGCATTACAGAATTTGATTTGAAGTATATGAACACTGGACGAAGAGACGACTGCACAAGACTGTAAACTTGATTATTTTATAACTACAAAGAATTGCAAATAAAGAGAAATATAAAAATATTAATTAAAAATCGCTGGCTGTGACATTAGAGACATGTTTTATGTGTCTATAGCAAGGTCTGAATATATTTCATGACACACACACACACACACACACACATATAAACAAATATGTAATTCGCAAAGCTACATTCTTGTTTGCAGAGCAAAATATCTCTTGGCATGCTTTGCTTATGTCTCTGATTAGGTGAATATTCTGAATAGTATCACATTTATTCTATAAAACTTCTGCTATTCATATATTTGTTTTAAAATAAGTAGTGTTATTGATGGGTTTGGCAAAAGCATTGAAATCCTTGGTCAGTCAACCTTAATTAATCTATCACTGTTAAAAATACATTTCTCATTGGAGAAAATTAATAGAGATTTTTTGTTCTAGGAACACATCCTTTGCAATCTATAGATGCTGACTTGAGAAAATGTATGGGTTTATGCTATATGTGCACTTTTTTATTATTGTTAAAATTGGCAAGACAAATTGGGCAAATGTGTCTAATTGCTGTTATATTACTATTAATAACTAATTTTTTTTTTTAAATGTTCAATAAAATTTGAAAAATGAAAAAATAAATAAGTAAAACTAACATTAGGGGTGCTTCGATTGATAGGCTGAAAATCGGCATTGAACGAAAATCACATTTAATGACTCGATCAGTATTTGTAAATGTGTTAAGGTGAATTTTCTGAATAGTATTCTATTTACTCTACAAAACGGATGCTTTTCACACTGTATATTTGTTTAAAATAAGTTGAATTAATGCAAACAAATGGGTTTGACAAAAGCATTAAAAACCTCAGTCAGTCAACCTTAATCCCTTAGTTACTGTTAAAAATACATCTTTCTGTTTATACAATCTATTCCACTTGACAATCCATTTCCTAACCATTTGACAATCGTAATTTAATTAGAGGTAGAAAGAGTAGTGAAAAACCATACTTGAGTAAAAGTACCATTACTTGCCTAAAAAGGTAGTGCAAGTTGAGTAAAAGTTTCTGTTGTAAATATTACTTAAAGTATGAGTAACAAGTAGCTCTTTCAAAAGTACACAGGAGTAGTGAGTAATAAGCTGTGAAAGTGTGATGAATTTACATGTAATTTGTGGATGTGTGTAAACATAACATTCTGTCGTGCATTCAATTAATTCCCAGTTGGCACACAACATCAAAAGATGTTAATATATTAGGTTAGAATTAGGTTGTGATGTCAGGTGACCAAAATTTTACGTCAGCATCTAAGAACATTACTATTTTGTTGTAATATAACAACATCAAATGACGCTGATATTTTGTTGATTTTAGGTTGAGTTAGAAAGTAACCGTCGACCCAACATCTTAATCCAACGTCATATTGACGTCAAATACTGACACTTATTCAGTAGGTGTGGCAACCAAAATATAATATTTTATAGACGTCATTGTGGTATTGTCCACACAACGTCAAGCTGTAACATCATTAGACTTTAAAATTTGCTTGACTTTAGGTTGGACATTGGACTTTGACGTCGGACTGATGTTGAGTTCTGACATCAACCTAATTTTCATTTCCAAACCAAGTGCAATGTCCCCATGACAGTGGTGTGCAACTTCAATCTGACTTCATGTTGACGTCTTGTGCCTGCTGGGTGTTTAAGGCCATTATGGTCTTCATTCAGTAAACATCCGTTATTTTTTCATCAGTGACAGCCATCTAAACAGTCTCTGGGTCACTGCATGTGAAGGTTTTGGATATCTTCCAAACAGTTTGCTGCAATTATAAATTGCCCATGTCTTGAGGTAGTTCATTATGATGCCATTTACCTCTTTACTTCTATATGTGATTTAATTGGACAGGAATCACAGAACTGACATGAAATATTAAAGTAGTGACTGCAGGTTGAAGTAAAGTAGTGGAGTAAAAGTACCTAAACAACACTAAAAAGGTCTTCAAGGGAAAGTAAAAGTCCACATTTTTTAAAACGACGTAGTAAATTACAATTTTGAGAAAAACTACTTAATTACAGTAATTTGAGTATTTGTAATTTGTTACTTTACACTTTTTTATTATTATTTGTTTTTAATATAATACATATTTTCAGCGTCATTCATTTTGGCATAAAATGTAGATAAACCTCTCCTAACAAAAATCTTGTTGTGCTGAAAACAAAAAAGAATCTGTTCTCATTACAATACTGTGAAGATGTTTGGCACATGTTGCATTTTAAAAGCTAATTATAAGACACCCAAAACACTGAAAATTCTTAAACAGTGCTGCGCATCAGATTGCATATTTACATAACAACAATGCAGTCTTTGCAATTTGCAATCGCACAAAACTATATTAAGTTCTCAGGCATTGTTTCTACTCTGTTGTTGCTTGTGATGCAACAAAAATGCAATTGCAAAAAAATAGTCCTTGTCGCTTCTGTCATGCCTCATCCTACCACTGTTTATAATGGACTATATTGTCTTAATTCACATTCACATCATGGTACTCATGTCCGGTGTAAACATGGTGTTAGAATTAATAATAAACACTGGCCAACTGGCAAGTAACACAGTGTCATATAACAACACTGAAGTTTATACTCACATTAATTTTGCCTCTAAAAGACAGACCCCACGCAGATCCCCAAAGAGAAGGTGGGAGATGGAAACAGTGTCAATATAATTTGATTTCAAGACTGATTAAGAATATTTTAGCCATGCAACTTTTGTGCAATTGAAAAACAAGTACATTGTCAGTGAAAAGAGGCGATTGATTTAGCCTCTCCGGTTTCTGCTCTGTGCTATAGAGTAACTGCAGAGCAACCCTTCAGAATGGTAAATGCTTTACAACACTTTTAAAAGCCGTTGAGTCACACTGAATCAACATTAGCTGACTTATGCCTGTCTCTATGACAACAATCTTTCATAACCTTCAAGGAGAGCGTCTTGTCTTTTTTATCTTTAAAGTTTATGAACAAATTCCATAGTCAGTGACACTGCATGCCAGTTTTCTTTTGCTGTACACACAACTCTTATTCATAAAATCTTTCTGTTGTAGATGGACCTCCATACAGATTGTTTTTCAGGGTTAAATTCTATTCCTCGGAGCCCAATAACCTTCACGAAGAGTTCACCAGGTAAACAGCAGCAGTTATATATGCTTTACCTTGTGCCTGTCTTGTAAAGCTCTTTAATCAAATAGCTATTTTTAAAAGCATAGTGCACTTAAAACGTAAATCTGTAATAATTGAGCCTGTAATATCTGTAATAAACCCCTTGAGCCTGTGCTTTTTAAAACATATCCTAGCCAAGCACTCAAAATAGCTCCAAAACAACAAACAACAAAAATCTTTTGAAAAATGTCATTATTTTGGGGTAATTACTTTTTTCTTTTTACATGTTAACTGCATTCAGTGCATGTTTAATTTCCACTGGATTCAATAGGTATGGGTTTGAGTAAAATGTGTATTTATTTAATCTGTCTGACAATATCTCTTCCAATTAAAAAATAAAGGTCATTTAGAGCATGTTTTCAACAGGTTGTTCTACCAAATATTGATTTGACGTTTCTGAAGTTAAAACATTGGTATTGTGTTAAAAATTTATACAGTGGTCCCTCGATAATTGTGAGTTACGTTATAAAAATAGCCTGCAATAGGTGAAATCTGCGAAGTAGTCCGCTTAATTTCTCAACAATTATTATAGATGCTTTAAGGTTGTAAAACCCCTCACTAATAATCTTTTCTCAGACATTATTATTTAAACTTTTCTCTCTTGTTTAACCCCTCGAGTAACTTCTTTTATTTAGCATGTCCAGAAGTCTAACTTTTTGTGCGATGGTTAGCATCTTCCTCTGCCTTTTAGGTGTTACCCTGGGTGCCTTTGACCATGCAGAACATTCCATCGACATTGTGGGGAGCAAACTTGAAACATACAGTACAGCGCATCAGAGTCACACTGCTAGCGATCAAAGATTTATGTAAATTTGGCAAGCTGAACGCTTTCTGTACTGTACAGGAGACAAGGCATGTAGGAGATTGATCAATAATGGTCTACAGCCAATCAGGACGCAGACAACAATGCGCTGTAAAAAAACAAGCATGTCAAGTTGACCAAAAAAAAATCTGCAAATCTCTGAGATGCGCAAAAGGTTAAACGTTATGGCGAGAGACCACTGTATGAACAGCGGAGGACCTGTCTTCAAGATTTTTTTAGACATGCGCACACTGATATCTTTCTTTTTCTGAATAATTATAAACATGGCAAAAATTCTTCAGTCAGCATTTTCATTTTTACTTTAGACAAAATGTAATCAGTCGTTTGCAGAATAAAAAAAATACATATTACTCAAACACTTAACTATAAATTGTCAATCCAGACAAACTGAGAATTTTGAAGTAGTCTATTTGAAAAGCTGTATATTGGTTATCAGGCAGTATCAGGCATATTTGTTTGTCCATTTTTTCGTGCATTTTCTTTTATTTTTACATTTAATCTAATGCTCATTCAAAGTTGATCCTTTAAATGATTGAATATCACTGTATATGTAATAATACACTCACCAGCCACTTTATTAGGTACATCTGTCAAACTGGTCGTTTATGCAAATTTCTAATCAGCCAATCACATGGCAGCAACTCAATGCATTTAGGCATTTAGACATGGTCAAGACGATCTGCTGCAGTTTAAACCAAGCATCAGAATAGGGAAGAAAGGTGATTTAAGTGACTTTGAACATGGCATAATTGTTGGTGCCAGACAGGTTGGTCTGAGTATTTCAGAAACTGCTGATCTACTACAATTTTCAAGCACAACCATCTCTAGGGATTACAGAGAATGATCTGAAAAAGAAAAAAATATCCAGTGAGCGGCAGTTCTGTGGGCGCAAATGCCTTGATGCCAGAGGTCAGAGGAGAATTGCCAGACTGGTTCAAGCTGATAGAAAGGGAACAGTAACTCGTTACACCCAAGCTATGCAGAAGAGCATCTCTGAATGCACAGCACATCAAACCTTGAGGCGGATGGGCTACAGCAGCTGAAGAACACAATGGGTTCCACTCCTGTCAGCTAAGAACATTAAACTGGGGCTACAATTCGCACAGGCTCACCAAAATTTGACAATAGAAGAATAAAAAAACTTTGCCTGGTGGTGCGAGTGTCGATTTCTGCTGCGACATTCGTATGGTATGGTCAGAATTTGGTGTCAACAACATGAAAGCATGGATTCGTCCTCCCTTGTATCAATGGTTCAGGCTTGTGGTAGTGGTGTAATGGTGTGGGGAATATTTTCTTGGCACTCTTTAGGCCCATTAGTACCAATTGAGCATCGTTTCAACGCCACAGCCTACCCGAGTATAGTTGCTGACCATGTCCATCCCTTTAGGACCATTAGTGGATCCATCTTCTGATGGCTACTTCCAGCAGAATAACACACCATATCATAAAGCACAAATCCTCTCATACTGGTTTCTTAAACATGACAATGAGTTCACTGTACTCAAATGGCCTCCACAATCCCCAGAGGTCAATCCAATAGAGCACCTTTGGTATGTGGTGGAATGGGAGATTCGTATTATGGATGTGTTATGGAGCTGAAAAATCTGCAGCAACTGCATAATGCTATCATGTCAATATGGACCAAAATCTCTGTGGAATATTTCCAGTACCTTGTTGGATCTATGCCACAATGGATTAATGCAGTTCTAAAGGTCTGTACTAGTAAGGTGTACCTAATAAGAGGCCAGTGAGTGTATTTCAAAACAAACTCATACTTCAAATTATAATAATGTGACGCCTAAATTTACTTGACATTTTAGTTTAATTTCTGCATTTGTTTTTCATTTAATTTTGTTAATTATATATCATTTTATATTGCTCATTTAATCTATGTTATCCAAACCATTAAAGCAAACATCACTTTGTCCTTAATTTGCATGGTTGACATATCTGAACTGTAATATTTGACTCGTGACCACGTAACCATTTTTTTTTCCAGGTATCTCTTTGTACTGCAGCTTAGACAAGACATACTGTCCGGCAAGTAAGAAATTACGCTTACCTCACTAAGAGAGATAAACGCACAAAAACATGCACACGCTGTGGAAAAAGGAGGGCCTTTGATATCCTCCTTTTTGCCCTTCTGTCACACCCCTGACACTCCCTCTGTCAGACACACACACATACACACACACAGAGGCAGGGTTTTTACCAGGGTCCAATAAAAGCTCTGTTTCAGTGTGTATAATCTGGGTCTGGTCTCCTGGGTGCTGCTCTGCTCCTTTTTAATAAAAGAAACTCCAATGAGAATCAACACACTGCTTCTAATTTAAGAGTACAGATACGCTCCGACACACTTTCCCACACAGGGGGCACACACACACACATTTTCTTACGTAAACACTGGGTTTCGTCATCTTGCATTTAACGGAAGTACATTTTGACCAATGCTTGAAAACCGTGTCGCTTGCATGTTTTTGAAGTCACCTTTTATGTGCTGCAAACACACTTTACCGGCTGTTTTACGGGTCATTAATTTTCTTCTTCTTCCCTGAGCAGGTTAAAATGTCCGTATGATGTTTCCGTAGAGCTCGGGGCGTATTGCTTACAGAGTGAGTTCTGTGTAATCGATTTGTTTAAGCATTTGCATATATGTGACACGTTTTGCCTTCATTTTCATTTCTCTCTATTTTGTGTGTTAATAGGTGAACTTGGGGATTGTGATCCACTAGAACACTCGATTTTGTTAGTATCAGAGTTTCGCTTTTCACCCAAACAGACAGAGATTATGGAGGCAGACATCTACCGCAAATGGGTTGAGTGCAGGTAAGCACGCCTTAGTCTTTGTTAACCTAAAAACAGGGATGCAAATATTTATATGGGATATTAGAGACTTATAATAATGCCCGCCCCAACACTTATAGTCATGCTATTGACCGCCATTCAGTTTTATGAAGTTTGTATTAAATACGAATGCAGAAAGATATTGATGACACTGAGGATTTAAACTATACAGTCTAATGCTGTGTTCTCAGCAGACGCGGAAAGTGCAAATTATTTGTGCTACTCATGTAAATAGATGCGTGAACATTTTGAGTTTACTTGCATATGGCATCAAATCCACTTCACAATTGACGCGGATTTGCATAGTAGGCAGGGCTTCTGCTGGCCTGATGACTCTAGCTTTGTTGCTAAACAGCTAACATGGATTTTATTGAGAGAATAGCTGTGTTTGTGCATTACAAAGGCTGAAAAACAGCATATATTATTTCAGCACCATGTCTGAATCTTGTAGATCCTTTCAGAGGTGCACCCACCTCTGTGAGTGTATTAACTCCTGCAGAAAATATACCTGGATGATGGAGACTTTCAGCGGTGCTTCTGACTGAGCCAAGCCTAGTTTGATGAACTGTTGTCCGGTGTCAGCAAAAAGATTTCCCCTCAGGACACCAACAACAAAAGCTACGTCATAATCACTTCCCTACAAGAGCAAGCTTATGATTGGTTAATGCGACGCAAATGTCTGCTAAAGTTTAGATTTTCCAACTCGAGCAATTGTTTTCTCATTAGCACGAATCGCACTGCAGGATGTCTATTCGCATCTTTCCATTGACTTAACATGTAAATCACTTGCACTTGACGCTTCATCCACGTCTGGTGTGAACACAGCATAACAGATTTGCTTGGAATATGAACGCAACACAATAAATTGCTTGTAATATTTTCTTATAGTAAACCTATATAAAGAAAATGCTTATCCGCTTGTTAACTCGTGATATATAAAATACTGTTTCCTGGCTACTTATTTGAATTGAGAAAATATTAGTTTAAGACCATTTTTAGTCATATGAATTTTATATAAAATCATGGTGTACACAACAGTCTCTGGACTCTCTGCTTCACAGAAACCAAAATTTTAACAATTTATAAAAATAAATCACTTTCTGGCCATCAGATATTAGGCATACATATATACAGTATATAGCTATTGTAACTTTCGAAAGTATTGCATCACTTTGTAAACATTTAATATTACCATTTGTTGGGTTTCCCCATAAAATTGGATATAGCACTTGGACCCGGAAGCCAGTTTGCAAGCGGATTATTGGGTAAAGGTTTAGTTAACCCAAAAATGAAAATTGTTATTAATTACTGGCCCTCGGTTCAAATTCCTGAGATTCAAAACAGCGTCAAAACGGTCCACGTGACTTCAGTGGCAACTTCACCTGTAACCACACAAAGCTCTAGAAACACTTTTGTGTGCCAAAAAAATGAATTGGTTTGTCTTTGTCTTTAGGGTCAGGTGCAGGTTTACTAAAGGCATTACCACGCTGCTGACCTTAATGGCAAACGTTGTACTGGCTGTAGTAAACACACAATCTGACCTGACACGAGAGAGAAGACAAAAGCAAACAGAGTAAATGTTAGAGTCAAGTTTTTGAAGTGTCATATGATTACAGTTAAACCACAAAAATTACAGCAACTGTTTTGACAGTGTTTTTGGTTCCTTTTCTGGACATTGACCATTTTAATTGCTGTACATGGAGGGTCGTAGAGCTCTCGACTTTCATGTAAAATATGTGAATTTGTATTCAGAAAACTATCAAAGGGCTCAGGGGATTGGAATGGCATGAGGGAGAGCAGCACTCAAATTTTTGGGTGAACTAACCTCCTAATGCATTTACACTTATGTTTTTACAACATAAGCTATCGATTCAATTCTGATTTATTAGCTCATTTCTATTTAATTCAATTCGTAATCTGCTTTTTGATTTGATTCAATGGACATAGATTTAACCCAAATGCTAGAACATTCTAAAATATAACTGTAAAGATTAATGTACAAACGGTGAATTAATGAAAAGAAATGAAGAGCCACATACCTGTTTGTTAAAATCTTAACATTAAAACACAATCCACATGTTTATTTTTTATGCATATAATACATATTAACCTTATGCTGCAATGTGGAAGTAAGCTTTTTCTGTGATTGTTTTAGGACTTCTGATTCATTTGCCTATGGGGAAATAACTTGGATTAATAAACAGTCATAAACTACAATTGCTCAACAAAGCAATTGTGTTTATGACAGTACAAAAAATAATATGATGAGAAAATATAATTTTGCAACATAATGAGCTGTTTTTATGGCTAAATATCAATTGAAGTGAATGAGAGAGGAAGTCTCAAGCCAGTAAGATTCCAATGGCTGTGAATATGGAAAAAGTTAGAATATGCCAGAATTTGGAAAAAAATTTTGGCCTGTCCTAATGGTGTATATTCAGTAGGGCATGTATTATATGCATAGTTATATAAACTGCAAGTTTTATGAACTTCAATCAATTTTTGATCATTTTTATCACTTGCTAGTGTACTAGTTTTTCTCAGCCTTTGCGTGTAAGGTGTGTATTCAGTACTAAAATACGACTTGGTGTATAAGCTTTATAGTTTGCACTTCAGTGTAGGGCTGTGCGATTTGAGAAAAATATCTAGCTCTTTTAGTATTTTTTTTTTTTCTGACAGATATTGCGACTGCAATTTGATTTACGATTTAATTTTGGAGTCAAGCTCCAGCTCAATAATCTGTAAGCCGTAGCAACAATTCTGTGACAGCTCTTAAAAATGACCTGTTTTTGTTCGATGTCTGTGACTTTGAAACAAAATTATTCCCATATTACAATTGCTGTTTATAATATTAATTTGTCTTTTAATGCTTCTGAAGCAGCAGACGCAGTGATCCAACTTATCAGCGCTTTCACTTTTGTTTTCTTTTTTTTTTTTGTGGCCGTAGTTCAGTTGCATAATTCTGATTGGGCAGAATGAAAGTGTCCTCATTCAATTGGTTAGTAAGACTGTCACACACAGCCAGCAATCACACATTTTCTCTGTGGGGGGGAAATTAAATAATACATATACAATTCATATTGCAGCCTCTTGCGATTTAACTAATGGCAACATTTCAAACTGCGATTGGGTTTCAATTAATCGCATAGCCTTCAGCGTACTAGAGTAGCAAGTGATAAAAAAACGAATCAACTTGTAATTTTTCAATTTTTACCAATGATCTTCCGTTGGTTTTAAAGCATGCAAGGAAAGTTATGTATGCAGATGATACAACATTATATCTACCAGCGGAGTCCATAGAAAAATTATGATTGCTGCTGATTTAGATGAGGAGTTACAATTAGTGGTAAAGTTGGTACAGAATAATAAGATGGTTTTAAATTTAACAAAAACCAAAAGTGTTGTGTTTGGATCAAATTTTCAATTTAAATGTAAACCACAGTTAAATTTGTCTGTAATGAGTTTGCCTATTGAACAGGTAGAGGAAGTTAGACTTCTTGGAGTTCTTCTTGATAGCAGGTTAAAGTGGTTAAAACAGATCAACAAAATGCTAATTGTTATGGGAAGAGGTTTATCAATTATTAAGAGATGTGTAGAATTATTACCAAAGTAATGTATCTCTTAAATTGTTCAGGCAATCGGTCTTTCATATCTAGATTATTGTCCAATGGTATGGTCGACTGCATCAAGTAAAGCCTTGGATAAATTACAGTTCTTCCAGAATAGAGCTGCATGACTAATTTAACACTGCAGTAGAAGAGTTAATATTATGAAAATGCATAAAACTTTAGGTTGGTTATTGGTAAAGGATAGGGTAATTGTTTCTGTGCTGTGTTTCTTTAGAAATATTTCTGTGTCAAGAGTTCAAGTGTATTGTACTTTCAACTTTTGTATAGCAATGCTAGTCATCCTTTTAACACCAGGCATGCATTAAAAGGAAATGTTTTGCTTCCCATTTCAAAAACTAATGCAAAGCAACTGACTGTAATGTATAGAGGAATGAAAACATGGAATGAATTGCCATCAGACATTACATGCTTTGTAACAAGTAAAATGAGGTTTAAAAAATCGTTTAAGAAATATTTAATGCAACAATATTAAGTGAATTGTTGATCTGGATGTTATGTATGAATTTTGTATTTTAATGTTTTTATTGGTCTTTGTTGTTGAGTATAAATGTTATTGTGTATTGTGTTTGATGGAACGTAGGAAGAATAGCCACTACCTTGGTGGTGGTTAATGTGGATCCCAATTAATTAATTAATTAATTAAAAATTCACATAACTTAGTTTCTCTTTTAAAAGGTGGATTGAAACAAACGGGAAGAGATGTTTTGCCTTCCAGTTCTCCATACCAGTCTAAAGACTATACATAACTTTAGGGGTTTCCCAATCTTTTTTTCCTTTATTTGTGATTGTATGATACAGAATATCTGCTGTACTGTAAATAGTAACCGGAGATAATTCATTCAAAATAATTTATGAATGATTACAACTGTTGAAACTGTCTAGAGCAATATTGATTTGTCTTTTTCCTCCACTGCGCTTGACTAAATAACAGCCAATAGTTTAAGAATATAAACTGAGCCACTAAACCATTGAGCAAGCAATGGACAAAATGTTCAACACTAAAATTAATAGAGATTTATCACTTGAAGTTTTGCCACGTCGCCTCTGCTTAGCACACAATATAAGGTTGTGCTTGTGTGTGTTTTGAATTAAGTTCTCAGAACAGATTGAAGTGTCAGATTCGGCCTCACTTAATTAGTTTTGGACACTTTCATTTGCCAGCGATAATCACACTTGAAATGTTTACATGCATTTCACGAAAACTGAAAACTCAGTGTCCCTGTGGTTTTAATTAAATCCCCAGCTCTGCATTTGACCCCGTTTTAAGAGCAATCATCAAAGTCAGCGTGCTACTGTATAAGTACGTGCTCGGCTGCAGATCAGTTCCTAAAAATTAGCTGTTTAATTGTGTCTGGATTGTTCTTGGAAATGGAAAAATGTCTAGACGTGAAGATAGTCAGGGGCCAGACTGTTAGTTTAAAACTGAAACAATGGCTTGAATTGAATTCATTCAGATACTGTGAGCCAATGTAGAGTAAAGAGCAGAACTGTAATGTGAGAGGATTTCCGGAGGTTAAAAACAAGTGCGGCAGAACATTGGATGCGCTAGATGAGACATATGGCAAATGCTGTCAGGCTGTGCAAAAGGGAGTTGCTGTATTCTAGCCATGAAATGATGAGGCAATGGACTGAGTTGAATGGAGGGGTTTTCAACACAGATCATGAATTTAATGTTCAACCAATATTTCTTTTACAGAGGAATGATTCCTTCTCAAGCTGAGCTGAATTTCCTGAATAAGTGCAAGTGGCTGGAAATGTACGGAGTGGACATGCATTTTGTGAAGGTGAGATCACTCCCTTTAGTTCATTTACATCAGTGGATTTTAAAGATTAGAGTTCAGAGAGAGCATTCAAATTCTTGTCTTCATTTATTTTTATCTTCACTTTAACAATAGAAGAATCCTCTCTCATTATAAAGGCTGCACTTTAACTGTACAAAGAAAATAATACACCTCCATAAACTCTCCATTGTACCTTTATATGCCGGTATTATACCTCATTAAATTAAGCATTAAGTCTTCACAGGAGCATATGCCATTATAAAAGGAGAATTAATCTTTTAATTGCTGTATTAGAAGTGCTATCATTCACTCATTCGACCAATCATCTACTCAAAATAACTGTGATATCAGGAATACTGCAATAATATTTCACACAGCTTTTTATTAAGATATTTCATATTTATCAATTCAATTCATGTTTATTTATATAGGGCTTTTACAATGTAGATTGGTCAGAGCAGTTTACTATAGGAGTTCTAGTAAATTGAAACTGTGTCAGTCCAGTTTTTATTGACTAAATACAGTCTTGGTGATTGTATAAGATTATAAAAGTATGGACTCTTGCCAAACGTTTTAAATATTTAAATAATTTTGTGGGGCGTCACGGTGATGCAGTAGGTAGCTTGATTGTGCACAGCAAGAGGCGATGGTTCAGGCCCCAGCTGGGCCAGTTGCCATTTCTGTGTGGAGTTTGCATGCTCTCCCTGAGTTTGTGTGGTTTCCTCCGAGTGCTCCGTTTTCCCCCACAGTCCAAAGATATGCGCTATATGTGAATTAAATAAACTAATTTGTCCGTAGTGCATGTGTGTGAAATCCAAAAGTGTATGGGTTTTTCCCAGTGTTGGGTTGCGGCTGGAAGGGCATTCGCTGCGAAAAACAAATGCTGGATAAGTTGGCGGTTCATTCCGCTGTGGTGACCCCTGATTAATAAATGGACTAAGCCAACAAGAAAATGAATGAATTATATACTGTCTCTGTGTAGGGACGGGATGGAGGAGAATATGCTCTGGGGCTCACTCCAACTGGAATCCTTGTTTTTGAGGGATCCAGCAAAATTGGTCTCTTTTTCTGGTGAGATTAACAATTCACTTCAATTGTTCTGATCAGTGACTGTATTATTACTCTTCAGCCATCCTGGCTGATAGTTTCCATCTCAACATGCTGTGCATAAATTTTTCCAATCAGGCCTAAAATAACCCGTCTTGACTTCAAGAGGAACAGGCTGACCTTAGTAGTCGTGGAGGATGATGAGAAGGTGAGTTTTATATCCATACATTACACTTTGATCTAAACTACCAAAAAGAATCACAGAGACATTCTGCTGTATTAGAGCACTTCAGCCTTGGTGGATATGATTTACACAAGCCAATAAAATAATCAATATTGCAACACCGATGAGCCAAACCAACGGGAAGCAAATATTGTTGATCATTTCCCACAATGGAAAGAATATTAGATTTAAGAGTTATGTCCCAATTCAGAAGCTGTTTCCGTTCGTGAAGGCCGAACCAGGATACAGAGGATGGATCTCATCATCTAGCTAATTTCATAGTTGTCGTTGATAAATAGCAGTAATGTTTTCTAAAATTGAAATATCTTCCCCTTTATCTATTCATGTATGCACAAACTACATTTTAGTATAGGCAGTGACGTGCGGTGAGGTTTGTGGCTGGTGAAGCACTGACTCTTTCAAAGTCAAATGTCAGATTTACAAACATATCCACCCTGGTCTTACCTTTACAGTAACTTACTTGTACATGATGTATTAATATGACTTGAATTACTTAGAAATTATCACGTTATTTTCTGTCTCGTCATTTGAAGCAAGTCCTTTAGCTCTAGCATTGGTCGTTCAATACTTATTCACGTTTTGATTGAAAGTCCAATTTTGAGAAATTTTTGAGATGATATCCACAATTTTTGCAGTCAGTCAGAGCAAAACACAAGACAACGGACTTCTATTAAACTTTATTGTGTAGAAGAAGAGCAACCGCTGAACAAGAATAACTGTGAGCTCATACGCGCCCCCTTCATTGTCAGATCCTAACACTAAATAAGTGATAGATATACTTGAAATACATCACCTATCATATGGAAAGTGAGGACATCTAATAAAAATCTCCAGAATGTAAAAAAACATTTTAATAAAGAATTACATTGGTAGCATACACTGAGTGAGCAAAAGGTGCATGCTCAAGCCAGTTTGCAAGGTATTGCACAATATGACATGAGGCACGGCTCGGTGATGCCTCAGCTCACTTCCTATGCTGTAATTGATCAGGAAATATGCAAAATACAGTGATTTATTTCATACAAATGATTGAAAGTATTTGAATCATACAGGAATCACATTTATGGCACAGATAAGTGGACAAATATTTATTTTATCATTAGTATACATCTCATGATGGCAGGTAATGATGATGATGACAGGTGAGGCATCTAATTTGTTGTCAGTTGTCTGATTAGATATAGATTTTTTAAATAACGTTGTGTCAGCATCACTGCACAATGATTATTGGAATATTCTGAGTCAATTTAAAGTATCCTTTTAGTTAGAAAAAAAGTTAATGCAACGATGATGCAGTTAGCATTTAAAGGATGCAGCCACTGAATTGTTAAATATCTATAAAGAGTGCAGAAAATGTTCACTACTGAGAGCATCACAAACTTTGGAACTGGACTTTAGACTAGTGGAAGAAGGCTGCCTGGTCTGTTGCTCATATGCGGCATTTATCTGGGGAAGTGATGACACCAAAATGCACTATGGAATGACAAGAAGCCGATGCAGGGAACGTGTTGCTCTGGGGCCTTGGGAATAGTGTTCTCTGGTGGGAATTGTTTTTTTCATCAGGATAATTCACCCTGCACAGTGCACACACTCAATGAATGAATGAAAGAATGAGGCTTTTTATAGCACTACACAAGGTACTGCTGGATGATACGATGGCAGCCATAGAGCAATCGTGACAGTCTGCTCAGTGCACATCAGCTATAGGGGAGAAAAAAGAACGCGATAGAGTCAATTCAATGAAAGAAGGGGATTAGGTCATATTTGGACAGACACTGGGATTACACTGCTACGGCTAAAAAAAATTTATAAATAAATTAAAAAAGAGTATGGTCTCAAGGGTCATGCTGAAAAAAAATAAGAGTATGATCCCAAGGGTCATGCAAAAAAAAACAACAACAATAAGAGTATGGTCCCAATGGTCATGGATCAGTGGTCATGGATCAGGGTCCCAATCCCGAGGTCTTTGGATTTTTAATTCCCTGAGATCTTGGATTTTACTATATTGTCCCCATCATTATAGTGAGGCATTAGAACTCACAGACCTCAAGGCAAACACTCATTGCTTGCTTCAATAACACCTTTTCAAACTGCAATATAGTTTGTCCAGGAAGTCTCCATCATGGTACAGAATTGAGTGGGCAATTAGTCTTGGAAATACCGGGGAAGTGATGACACAACATGTACGATGACGACAAGCCAATGGTAGGAATGTGATGCTCTGAGCAAACTGCTGCGAATCCCTAGGCCAGCCATTCATATTCATATTTCAGACTAGGTACTAGGACTAGGTTCTTTATGACAGTGTTGTTCCCTGGTGAAAGTGGCAGTGATAGAGCACCAGTGCACTCACCACAAAGTAGATAGATTAAGAGGAAAAGAAGTCAGTTTAATGTCTTATATTTGATGTTCTTGCAATTCAGTGTCCCGGTCAATATACCAGACTGCAGTGTAAGCACCCCCTGCTGGCCCCACTAACACCACTTACAGCAGCAAAGTAGTTTTTCAAACAGATCTCCCATGCAGGTACTGACCAGACACAACCCTGCTGAGCCTCAGTCGACAGTCAGCCAATTGAATTGTGCTGGAATGTTTACATTTTGCTTATAATATTTCATAAAATGTTCCCCATAGATTGAGTTATTTGTGGCAGGCCACCATACCATAGCAAATCTACCACAAATACATTTTCCAAAAGCCTATGACTTTGTTGAATAAACATGAACAGAGCATGTTTCAAGAGCAAAATTTGACATGGATGTTTTAATATGAACATATTTTTGGAGTGTCTTTAGTAGAGTTTCATTGTTGTTTTCATTTAATGATTTCTATAATGCCTTGAAATCTGTATTTCTGAAAGTAGCACCTCCTGCTGGAGAGAGCTAGTTTACATTTTCAAATAGCTTGTCTGCTGTTTTCCTTCAGACTAATGAAACTTAAATATGTTGCTTAATTATGTCTGTGGGAGATTATGTGTGAGGAGCAATTAAACATTTAGCTAACCTCTTGCTTTATACTAACTTAATATTGTATTTTTCATGTTACAAATTAATATTTCTATATAATTCTGTTATTATGTGAATATATGACTCCAGCACTTCATTGTGAAGGCAGTGGCATAAATAATATTTTCTTTAGCCACTTTAAAACGGTATCCATGAATGGGTAAAATTGACCCTCTGGCAGTTTTAAAGGGCATCTATGATAAAAATCAGCTTTTGTCGGCTGTTTGGACTGAACTGTGTGTTGGTATAGTGTGTCTACTGTCATGTTGGAGTAATATAAACCCAACAAGTCTCTTTTAAAAATTTCCTGATGTTAAAATAGGACCCAAATCCCATGAATTTAGAGGGTCACTGCAACAAGATGTAGGCAAGCGGTTTTCCCCGTTCACCGAATTGATTGACAGGGGCCATGTTTCTATAATAACATGAATACACGTCCACAAAACATATTTTTTTTGCAAATAAACTGGGATTAAAATATTGCTACAACTCAAAGTTTTATGAGTTTAAAACAGAGCATGTTTGAAATAAAGACAGTAAAATTGCTCTAATTCTTAACCGCTATAATTACCCCAGGCGCATGGTGTCAGTAAATTCTAATACGTGTGTGTACTGCAAAAATAAACTCCACCACAAATACATCAAATAAACATACTTGTTTTTTGTGACTAATAAGCTGTATTTCAGTTTCATCCGAGTTGGTCTTTTGCCACTGACTGCTGTGAATCTTACGTAGCGCATGATGAGAAGCAGACTCGCCGGTCAGAGCGGTGGGCAGGGAGAAACAGCTCATTTGCATTTAAAGCCACAGGCTACAAAAATAGCTACAATGTATTCAAAGAAGTGGGCAGATTCTGTAGGCTATAATAAATAATCTGATGAATATTTTGAGCTGAAACTTTACAGACACATTCTGGAAACACCAAAGGCTTATCTTACATCTTGTAAAAGGGGCAAAATAAGTGCCCTTTAAGTTTATCAACTGCTTTTGATTGTTCTGTTGTTAAGGGCTCTTTTTGTGTGTGTTTTTGTGTGTGCAGGGTCGAGAGCAGGAGCACACGTTTGTGTTTCAGCTGTCGAGTTCTCATGAGTGTAAGCATTTATGGAAGTGTGCAGTCGAGAGCCATGCCTTCTTCCGGCTCCGGCAGCCAACCCACAACAAAACCAGCCGCAGTGACTTCACACGCCTAGGCTCACGCTTCAGATTCAGGTACACACACCCACATGCACACCTATGCTGACAACATATTTACCGCGTTGCTTTTTTAAGAGTCAGGTTGTTTGTTTACAGTGGAAGAACTGAATATCAGGCCACACATAGTGGTAAAGTCAGAAGAGCAAGCACTTTTGAGAGAAGGCCAAGTAAAAGATATCCATCACGGGCTCAGTCTATGGTCAAGGGTAGGTCTGTGTGCCATGTGCAGTTTTTTTTTTAATAATCAACCTAATGCATTTCAACATGCTTAATCTCTGTCTGTCATGCATCCGACCCAAATGCCTTCAATGTACTTATGAGATCACAAATGTCACATATATGACTGCTTCTGTTTTCCACAGCCATGACTCCAGCAAAGCATCCCCATTTAAGGTAAAGACCGAACAAATCAATTATGGAATAATTATTTTTATTTACTATTGTTTTTTTGTTCTTGTTAAATGAAATGATTGTATTTCTCCTGGATGTGATTTGTGTAATGAAATGTTCTCTCTTTGTTTTGTAGTGCACAGACCAGCCCTGAGCCAAGCTTAAAACCGGTACTCTTTAATATCCTTCATACTTTTCATATTAGGAGGAATTAATATGTGGATTTATCTGGGAGGTTTTGGACTGGTGTCACATTTTGTTGATTGTTTTAGAACTTGTTAAAAACAAATGAATGAAATACTTTTATAAAATTGCATTTTTATGGTTTCTATTTTAGTGACATTTTATAAGATTTGTAACAATAGGAGAAAAGGTGATCGTAAATTCTCTATTTATATATCGTGAAATATTTACTTTGAAGGGTATGTAATATTACATTAAGAGAGATTTAAGAACCTCTGCAAGGGTAAAATCAATTCAGTTTATCTTTATTTGTATAGCGCTTTTACAATGTAGATTGTCAAAGCAGCTTCACATAGAAGATTATAGTGAATTGAACCGGTGTCAGTTCAGTTTTCAAAGTTTTAGTTCAGTTCAGTTCAGTTTAGTGTGGGTTAATATTCACTGCTGAGAGTCCAAACACTGAAGAGTAATCCATCAATGCGCAGCTTTACAAGTCATTTAGAAGAGATTTGTAACAAAAGGTTGAATTAATAAAAGCGTTATATTCAACATACAAAGTAAGTATTAGTATACAATGCTAATAGTTTTGTCCTCAAAATGGCTTTAAAAATATTTAAACTGCTTTTATTCTAGCCTAAATAAAACAAATAAGACTTTCTCCAGAGGAAAAAATATTTTCAGACATACTGTGAAAATTTCCTTGCTCTGTTAAACATCATTTGGGAAATATTTAAAAAACAAAAAAAATTCAAAAGGTGGCTAATAATTCTGACTTTAACTGTATATAAATGTTCATTTGAATAGTTTTTTAATCATTTACTTGCGCATTCTGAATGATCTTAAAAACCAATAAATAACTGATTTATAAATAATGCAATACTTAATTTAGTAATAAAAAAACTTGGTCATTAACAAAGTATAAATGCCAATCATTAAGCACATTATACATTTGCTTATAAGTAGGACCAGACAGAATTTGCGAACGTTTTTGGCTATTTCTTGTGAGAATTTTGTAAAAAATCTGCAGATTTACATGGAATGATTTTAGGAATATCACAACTAAAAACTTGATATATTAAATAAATACTAATACATTTTAACTTTTATTTAATGTTTACAATGCAAATCCAAATAGATCCATTTATTTGGTGTCTGAACTGTATTGTAAATAAATCATTTGAACATTTTAATATTACTATTGTTATATCACAATAATATTAGTGAAAGTAATTTAAAAACTGAATAAAGATAAATTAACACACATTTACCCAAGTAAATACATAGACTAAATAAATGATGAGTTAAAAAAGTGCGAATTTCTGCGTGTGCAGATTTCGTGTGAGCCTACTCGTAAGTCAATAACACAGCATTTGTAGCTGTAGTTATAAAAGGCTTACTAATGTCTTATAATGTAGAATTAATGCTTAACAAATAATGAACTAACTATTTGTTCATGCATGTGTAGTGTGTAGTTATTATAAAATGTTACCAAACATTTTTCAATGTTTTCTACATTTTTAAACAAGTATTAATCAACTTTGTGATAACTCACAAAATGAAGTTGTTTTCCTCCTGTCTCATAGTATTTCCATCACAAATGTTGAGCGCAAAGTTTCTTGTGGGAACATTACTGCTTTTCATGAAAATGCAAAGTGAACAGAATATTTAGGATGAGAACACGAATACATTTTTATTAGGGATGTAACGATTCACCTGACTCACGATTCCATACGATTCACGATTTAGTCACGATTTTTTAAACAAAATTATTTAAAACAAATTTAAGGTAAAGAGCCCTTTCATTTTTTATTAAATGTTGCACATTTTTTGCAAAATTATATATATTCTGCCATAACCAAATTGCCAAGAAAAAAGATCAAAAAAGATTAATACAAACTAAAGAAGATTCATTAATATAAACAAACTAAAACTGTGCTGGGATTTTACATTTTTTAAAAGAAATATCAGCATATCTATGTTTTCAGGCATAAGCTGAGATCTTTGCACATTTACAAGGTCCCCTGATAAAAAAAAAATTAAAAAAAACTCTTTCACTGGGAACTAAGTGGAGAGGAAAGCCTTTCCTAAGCCAGAAAGCAGTGTGTATAGAAGTGGTCACTGTTAGTGTAAGTAAACATCTTTTTGTAGTATTTGCACAGTTTGTGTTTTATCTGGCGCACTTCACTGCTGTCATTTTACTCCGCTGCCCCACCTCCTCTTGCTCGCCGCTTATAAGCAGGTAAAGTAAGCTTGCGGTAAACGGTGTCTCCTCTATTCAAAACATGTATCGCGATTTATTCAACATTTGTACCGGTTTGAATCGTCACATTTTTTAATCAGTTTTCAACTGACTCACGGTGAATTGTTACATCCCTAATTTTTGTGTCATTTGTGTTTTTTTCCATTAATTTTTGTTCCCCATGGAGAAACAGAAGTCTATCATATTAAAATCAAAATATATTTATGTGTATTGAGTCAATATGGGTTGGAACGACATTAGTAAATGCAGACAGAAATCTCATTTTATTGAAATATAAAGTGCTCAGCAGGAAACTCCACTCATGTAAATCTACATTTTTATGTTTCTCTCCAGTATAAGCACAACATTCCAATTGCACAGGATCCTTGGCAAAGATCACACCCTCCTCCTTCTCTGACCTCTCCTCTATACATCCAGCCCATGGAATTGGGACACACACCTCCACCACACAGGTATAGAAAAACAAAAACCCTGCAGTAAATCTAATTTTGTGTTTAATCCAGATCTCATCTGTGCTTCATCTGTGTTTCACCCGCATGTGCATATGTGTCTGATTTAGACCCTCCTATGTGGACAGACCCCCTGCGAGCAGTGTTGGGTTTGGTGAGAGCGATTTGGTTGCGCGCAATGTCAGGAGCGTGTCTGTCATGCACAAAGACAAACTTATGACTGCACTCTAAGCATGTGAGAGGGTGTTTGGATGAGCCGCTCACCTTAGTAAAAGAGATGCTCGCATCCAGTCACAGTCGGTGTGTCATCCTTCATCATCTCACCTTCTGGAGTCTCATCTTTTGCTTGTGATCATCCATCAACTCATCCATCATGTGACATGTCTCATCCGATCAAATGCGTCCTGAAATGACAAACACATATTCAGCATATGTGGACCGTGACGTCTGACAAGTCTGCATGTTGATAGCTTTTAGAGTTTTGCATGATTTATGGTAAAATCTAGAACTAGCAAATGACCTGAACCATGTCAGAAGATGTGCTGCTGTTGTGGCTTTATATTCTAAAGCAGGATTGCTCAGGTTGGGTCCACCAAAAAGCCCGGCTGAGCAGCCTTGTTCTAGATTATAGCCTATTTTATTATTTTAATTCATATATTTTGTGCATATCATGTATGAATGTTTACTTTTAAGTGCAGATCATTTATATAATGCCAAGACGAGCTCCTCACTGTTTACAGTCCCGCTTTACTTAATCCAGGGGTGTCCAAACTCAGACCTGGAGGCCCAATGTTCTGCAGATTTTAGCTCTAACTTGCCTCAACACACCTGCAAGGATGGTTGTAAGAGCCTAGTAAGAGCTTGATTAGCTAGCCTAGGTGTGTCTGATTGGGGTTGGAACTAAAACTTTGCAGGACACCGGCCCTTCAGGACCGAATTTGGACATGCCTAACTTAATCTAAAGGGATAGTTCACCTAAAAAATGAAAATGTACTCACTATTTACTCAATCTCAAGTGGTCCTGTTATGAGTTTACTTTTTCTGTTGAACGCAAAACTATATATTTTAAAGAATACTGGAAACCTCTAACCATTGACTTACATAGTAGGAAAAAACAAATACCATGTAAGTCAATGGTTACAGGTTTTCAATGTTTTTCAAAATATCCTATATTGTGTTAAAAATGAAACTCAAGCAGGTTTGTGGCAAGCGAAAGTTCAGTAAATGATGACAGAATTTTCTATTTTGGGTGAACTGTCTCTTTCTATTCACCTTGAAAGTACTCGTGACAGCTGTTCTGTATGTGCTAATGATCATTTACGTATTTGCTGAAGTGTTAAGTTAGACACCTTTTGTGTTTTAGCCATAGAAATCCGTTCAATCAGCAAGGAACGGGGGGCTTTTAATGATTAAAGTCTGCTGCAGTGAGACCTGCCTTAATAAATGTGTTGTTTACACTAATCGACTCAATTTTATTGATTATGTAAACCCCTGACATTTACTTCTCATTTTTTGTATTCACATTTGCACTGTTCCATTTTCTGTTTAATAACACCATTCGCATAATCGGTTGTTGTTGTTGGTCTTTCCATTGAAATTACTTTCAGAAGCACTCTGTTATCATATTAGAAAGCTGCGTGTGCATGTTTCTGCATGTCATTTGTACTGTGGTTATCCTACTTGAAAATAAATCAATAAACACCAGCTCAGGTTTGCATTGGTCTCACGCTGCCGTTAATTATGTTATGCCATCAATAAAGATGACATATGCTATTATGTTGCATGTGTGGGTGGGTGTGTAGAGCCTATGTATGAATGAACTTGAAGGTCCCTTTTATTTTCTGATACTCGTCCACACATAATGTAAAGCTGTCATATGTACCATTGTACTGTGTGTCGTGTATTGTTTTATAGTTTCCCTTTGAGCGCTGCAGACACCCGGAGGTTTAGTGTGGAAGAGAATGAGGCTCCTCATTCTGGAAAGATCCATCGCTGCTATCATCACCATGGTTATGAAAAACAGGAACCGTTGTGCCTCACAACTGCTAAACCTAGTGAGTCTTTTACCAAATATGCTTAACTAGTTATTCTGTGTTCACGACAGCTTAATGCATTAAAATTAGCCTATTCTAATGTATAGAATAGAGAGTAATTAACAACTCAGACATGTCCTAAAATAGTTTGTCGATTTTTGATTGCAAATCCTTTCCAAGCGGTCTTTTTTTTTTCTAAACCCAATAAATCATACCATAGAAAAGTGTAATAGTGTATATACATTCAACGGTCACTTTATTGGGTACACCTGTTTAACTGCTCGTTAACACAAAAATTCTAATCAGCCAATCAGATGGCAGCAACTCAATGCATTTAGGGACATAGACATGGTCCAGATGATCTGCTGCAGTTCAAACCGAGCATCAGAATGGGGAAGAAAGATGATTTAAGTGACTTTGAACGTGGCATGGTTGATGGTGCCAGACGGGCTGGTCTGACTATTTTAGAAACTGCTGATCTACTGGGATGTCAAGCACAACCATCACTAGGGTGTACAGAGAATGGTCCAAAAAAAAGACATTTTATGTCATGAAGTGCAAATCATCTCAGACCGGTTTCTTGAACATGACAATGAGTTCACTGTACTCGAATGGTCCCCACAGTCACCAGGTCTCATTCCAATAAAAGCACCTTTGGGATGTGGTGGAATGGGAGATTCGCATCATGGATGTGCAGCCGACAAATCTGCAGCAACTGCATGATGCTGTTATGTCAGCATGGACCAAAATCTGTGAGGAATATTTCAAGTACCTTGTTGAATCTATGCCATGAAGGATTAAGGCAGTTCTAAAGGTAAAAGAGGGTTCAACTCGGTATTAGTAAGGTGTACCTAATAAAGTGGCTGGTGAGTGTATAAAGCAAACTGTATTATTAAATATAGGCAACTCTACTTTAGTTTAATACCCTGTAGTTGTTGTAAAAGTACAGTGTTGTTCAATTTATTTAGATTCCTGTAGCTGTTGTGTTACCACATCCACTATATAATTACCACAACAGATTAATTCAATTACTTTAATGTAGTGTCGTTCAAAAACATTATAATTTTATATAAAATGCTATTGTATTTTTTCTTGTGAGCATTATTTAATCAATCCCTCAAGGATTTTAAAGGTCCAATCATTCCTGAGATTAAATATATGTAAGAAGTCACAGCAAATGCCTGGAGGGACTGGTTAAGTAAATGATTCAATGATTAACCCCACTGGTCAGCAAATTGTAATGGTAAAAAATGCCAATGTTCTGAATATATAGGTCTCTTTAGTTCATACCAAGGCAATTTTCTGTTAATATAAGTAGCAGTTGATATTAAGGAAAGGCAGACAGTTTGTAATTTTAAGGAATTAGTCAATGAGACCAATTCTTAGTGCTGAACAAAGACTAAAGATTGTGGTTTCTTGAATAGTGTATTGGAATGTACCGGAGGGATACTAATTGTAGAATTTATTCAGAACATGTATGCTGATGTGTTTGTTTACATCAGAAGCTTGGGTTGTGTCTCCTGCACTCTCGGATGAGTTGGATCGAGCTCTGCAGAACCAGCTGGAGGCAGAACCTGCAGCCTGGCCGGCTCTTCACATCAACATAGACATGGTCAGTTTTGTAGATCACAGCCTTCTAGGACAAACAGAAAAGAATTGTTTACCCTGTCTCATGAATAAATATTATGTTCTCTCTGTAACTAAAGGCAGAGGAAAAACCACTTTCGGAGAAAAGTCTTCCTTCATCGCCTGCGGTTTTACAGGAACAGCTAAAAAGCAACATCTCTAAAGTAAATGCTAACACTCACAGACTGCAGGAACATGACACTCATAAAAGCTGATGCAAAGTTAATTTGTCTATTTATATATCTGAATGTTGCTTTCCTGACAAAACAGGTAAATCCAGTTAAAAACAGCCAAGTTTAAAGGAATGAAACTGGTCTGTAATAAGTTCCATATTGTGACATACATCGAAATGTCATGGATAATCGAAGTACAAATGGTTAGGACTTAGCTCTATTAATTGGTTTGTTGATCGGATGGAAGCAGATCTGAATGGGATAGTTCCTATCAACTTCCACAAAGTAGAACATCTTTGTTGATCCTGGAATCAACCAATTACAATTAACCAATCAGATTTGAGGGACAGGTTTAGTTCTTCCTCTGGGTTAAAGGATTTGTATGGTTAGCGTTGAATTTGGAAGTATGTTTTAAGGCTAAGTTTGTGAACAATCAAGGTTAATCTGAATGTTAATTAAGAAACATGTCTTACTTTCTCACAATATGGCAACTGCCTTGGGAAAACCAATAATGACTACATTTACTTGGACTCAAATAATGAATTTATTTGCCTTAATCTGATATGATATGATTAAGGTGTTTACATGAGTTGCTGTTTGAATGTTTCTTTCATGATCCCGTTTTACATGTTATAGCACATAGATCGATTAATGTTATTGCGTCATCACTCTATCCACATTTCCCCTGGAGTTTCATGTAATTACGGTTGTTTAATTTTTACTTTGTCGACAGTAAACATGTCAGGCTCAATAATTCGGATGAATCATTGACTTGTGCTGTCTTCATTAGTTTCAAAAACACAATTTCTTTACAATTTAAAAAATGTAGTGAAAAGTCCTACATGACGATAATAGTTTGATTGCGGTGTTTACGTGTCTGTACTGCACTTCAATAATGCGACTAAAATCGTCATACTCCACATGTCTTAATCTGATTTCTGTTTAGTTTGATTAGGACTTTAGTCAGAACAAATTATCGAAAAATCACTGTTTACATATTAGACTTATAATCAGAATGTTGTTTCAATCGTAATAAAATCTATTTATTGGTGTAAGTTGCATTTCAGGTGACCCCATTCCAGAAATCTCGACATGCTATTGGTGTTGTATTTAAAAACTACAACACCACAAAAAAGCCTGATATTTTCATCAGATTATCAAGTTGTAACTTTTACAACCAAACAAGTTTTATGTGGCAAAAATTAATAAGATGTAAAATAGACAGTGTTCATTGTCATTATATGCTGAATTTTATTGGTTACCCTATTCCATTATGTCCACTGTAAATTATCTAATGTGGTATAACAAATTGGCGACAAGGTGGCGCAGTGGGTAGCACAATCACCTTACAGCAAGAAGGTTGCTGGTTCGAGTAGGCTGGGTCAGTTGGCATTTCTGTGTGGAGTTTGCATGTTCTCCCCATGTTCATGTGAGTTTCCTCCAGGGGCTCTGGTTTACCCCACAGCCCAAAGGCATGCGGTACAGGTCAGGTAAATTGGGTAGGCTAAATTGTCCGTAGTGTATGTGTGAATGAGAATGTATGGGTGTTGGGTTGCAGCTGGAAGGGCATCCGCTGCGCAAAACATATCCTGGATAAGTTCACGGTTCATTCCACTGTGGTGACCATAAACTTAATAAAGAGACTTAGCCAAAAAAAATATATGAATGAATGAATGAATGGTGTAACAAATCTAATGAAATGTACCAAGATGATCTACCAGGTTGACCTTGGTTATAAAACCTAATGCTAGAAGCCACATACAGCTGTTTTTAGCTGGATAAAATGTCTGTAATAATAACTACACTAGTAAATGATGATTCATATAGCACAATATGAGGCAGATGGAATGATGCATAGTCTGTCTTCTGCTCTCTCCTACTGTAGCGGGCCACACAAAGTGATAGTGGAAACTCAAAGGGAAACTCTTCAAGTGGAGACCAAACTGACAGGTGAGAACAGCTGGTACCAGCCCTCAAAGTTGGTAAATGTCTCAAATGGTCTTCAAGCATAAAAAAATTATCAAGCATTCAATATTTACAGACTTCTGACTTTTATCGCAGGTATCCCAGCTCCTCACAGGATTCAGGCTCAAGCAGTCTGAACATTGAAAAGCCTAGAGTGGACCGACGCAAGCGCCTCGTCAGACAGTTCAGCTTGTGAGTCACTAGGTGGAAGAGGGTGATTTTTCTTTTGCAGCCTTTTAGTGTTAACAACGTGGCCTCTTTGAAACATTTTCTTTGTCAATAGTAACCATAGTGATGAGGATGACCTTCCTGAGGCACTTGCAGCCATCTCCTCCCAATGCAGTATGGGGAAATCCTCTTCAAACAGCTCCTTGGACAAACAGGTCCAGCCACCGATTTATCCACCGGTGAGAGTTACTCTCCCCCTCTCCATCGAGATGCAATCAAAAACATTTTTTAATCAAAATGCTATGCCAAAATCATTATAGAAAGGTTGTCTGCCTTGATTATTTTTCTTCACTAGAGAAGATATCCAATAACAAATATCCATTAACAGGGAGACAGGGGAACTTATAATGAGAGAAAACATTACTCAGTGCACCCTCAGTACACTCAAAATTAAATTTGAGTCATCATCACATGGATCTGTCTGATACATGGCTGTTTTTATGGCCTGCCTGTTATACATAAGCCAGTCAAATGTGGCATCTGTGTGTGGTTGATTTTTATGTGGTATCCATTATGGGTGAGGTGGTTCACAAGGTTTATATTTTGCACTTCATAATATCCATTAAGGAAACATAATAGTGAGCTTTAATGCACTATGGGTTTCATAGTGTATTGTGGGACTTTTAAGTGAGTGAATATTTCACACTTTAGGAATTGTGCAATTGAGACAGCTCTTAAAATGGCCAAATCC